TTGCAATATGCGTTTTTGTTGCCTGTTGCAGCGCTCTAGCGCTGCACGGCAAAAACGCATAAAAACTGCATGGCGACCATTAACACTAGCGTTGCAAGGGTTCCGTTCCTATGGGAAGAGACCTTTTCGGTGGATTTAACTATTTTTCTTGAGTACAGGGAATATTGCACGTCTACAAGAAAGAACGCCATCTTCCCTGTTGCCTTTATTTATCTGCTCTAGTAGTCAAATCTCGGTTGTTTTCTCTGAAATTTGTCTACCAGAATTATTTTCCCATCATTTTCTTTTCCAGCGAGGCGCTGCGCTTAGCCAGGATTACTGTTCTGCTTTTTTACAAGCTCTTGAGACTGGCAAATTGATTAGCAATTTTGTTAGGGCCCGTTCGGCATTGCCAAAAATCCAAACTATAATACCGTATCTGGCTGCGAAAATTCATGCAATAAAATGCAAAAAAAAGTGTAGTGAGGGAGGAAAAAAGAAAACCTGGCTGCTGCTCTTCTCCAAAATTCGTTGTTTATTTTCTTTTTCGAATTAAAGCGGAACTGCAAATTGAGCATATTCGCATATTTCACTGTGCTAAGAAAGTCATGATTATGAAAAGCAGCAATCGGAGTGGAATTCGTTATTGTATTTTCAAAATTTATTTTTTCGGCTTGTGTAAAAGCGATGGAGCACATTTCTACAGGTGAAACTCAAATTCGCAACTTTATCATCTAAGCGAGAAATTTTGTTTACACTGTAGTCATTTTCCAGATTTGTACTGCTGAGCGAGTTACCATGTTCGGTGCATTTCGACGGCGGATCTCAGCAGTATTTAATTTACACCAATGCCGTTAAGCCTTTCGTAAATTATTTTTTAAATTGGTCATTCGTAGAGGTGGACAGCTGATACTACACTGGTAGCTGTGCAAGTGACAGCGTGCTCGCAAAAATGACTGACGTATGTAATGATACATGATAAATTGGCTCGTATATTAACTGATTTCAGCAGAGAAAGTTCACAAAGAACATAGATTTCCCGCCCGAAAATACCGAGGGTAACTATTTAACAGCATCTTCGATCTCTCAAATGACTGTACACAAGGGAATACTCACTACTGTTTTTGGGTGGTAAACTTTGCGAAAAGATTGCTGGCAGGATGATTTTGTTTCGTGTTGTGGCTCAGTGGTTTGAAACCTTGCTCGAAAAACTGTTCGACAAGTTGGTTCGGGAGTTCCAACATGCCCAGTCGGCTTCATTGCATGGAATTTTCGAAAAACGGAGCCAGCTGGTTATACTACCTTACAGGTACCTGAAGAATGCTTTCTCTCTTTCTTCGCTTTCCGGCTGTCTTTGGTTTTTTCCAAGCATGAGTGAGTGCGTCTCGTTTAAACAATTAACGCTCTTATTTTTGACACTGCTTAATTTTTTGTTTAAGGAAGCATGCTGGCAGTTCAATTCACTGAACGTAAAAAGTGCCGCCAAACAGAATGAGCCGAGAAAGCCATTCAGACACAAGGTTGTTTTAATGCAGTGAGTAAGTCAAAACTTGTCTCGGACGCAGACAGCCAGCATTCATTCAGCCAGAAATTACTGTCTTCCGATCTATTTTAATTCAGTACTAACCACAGTGGTGTGTTCAGCGAAGTAATTCACCTCCTTTGCCCACACAGATATATTGCAGATTGAAATCGCAGATAGGCGTTTCTTCATGTTTACGTTGGAATCCGTCAAAGCACTGACTAAACAAATACCTTCCGTCGCCGCCTTCACAGTATCGTCAGGTATGATTTTTGAATTAAATTACTGGACAAATTTTTCTGGGAATTTGATTTGATGAGGAGTGAAATTACGTGCAGTTTCGCATCAGCTGGCAATCTGTGTCTTTTAACGGCTATCTTATGTTAAAGTAGGAACGTATTTTGCTCTTGAGATTAAGCGACAAAATCTTTTCTATTTAAAACAACTTGTCTGGTCCTTTCTGATTATTTCCTCAATCAGAAAACTCCACTGGGTTTATTGAGTTGGCAGTAAACGGACACTACAAATTCTATATTGCGATATTTAGATAACTTAACATGGATATTAAACGAATGGCAAAAAAAGTCGTATGCGTCAGATCCGTTTCATATACCACCTGCTGGCTTCTTGCTGATCGATAATCTACAAAAAGTGGTTGTGGATAATGGTGCCGTTCGTTCACCTTGTGCTTCTCCCAGTCACCTCAAAGCACTGTGGAAAGAATCATGGTCTCAGCAACCAGTAGTTTCTAGCTGGAAAACACCAAAAAGTTACATCCATGCTCGTCGCATGGAAAAAAAATTAAAAGATTTCCGAAGATTGACAAAAGAACTACGCAGTTTGGGACGCAAGCAACGCCAAGAATTGCGACTTTGCGTTGCTACGAAGAAGAGAATTGAAAATGCGAGAAAACACGGGGCAGATGTATCGCAGCCCATTTACCAGCAGTTGGAACAGCACTTACAGACACTGATCGAACGATTCTATCACACTGGCCAAAGAATCCGAGGCTTGAAGACAAGTGTTCAGTACGAACTGCGTCCTGCCTTGGAAGCACTGGATCAGGAATATGCTGCTCAGTCTCGAGCTTGTCAGAACGGCCCAAATATTCCTCGAGCAAGAGTCGTAGACAGCATGATTTGGGATTCGTTAAAGGGCCAAATCGCTGATTGCGCACAAGACCTACAAGCAGTTGATAGAATCCGATGGATGATGGAGCTAATTTTGCAAACACGGTAAATTTTTGCATAAATTACAAATCCTTTGTCACATGTGCTCGATAATTTTTCGCAGATGACTGCAATTAAATTATTTGTAGTTGAGCTTATATTTTCCGATTAAAATTATTTTTTTTTTTTTTTGCATGGAATACCATCCCAGTGTAACGATTTTGGAGTTTAGGAGATGTAAAAAAAAATACACATCAATGATGCAACAAAAAACAAAGGGAAACCAAGTTGCTTTTTTTTTTCTTTTGAGCGTTCAAAGTGCTGGCTGGAGTATGACGAGAAGTAGAATCAAGGTCCATGAAACTTCGCTGATGGGGCGTAGAAATCAGTTAAAATGACGTCATCTTCCCGCTCTGTCCTGATTTGCTGTCCTTCCCTTTCTCTCCTTCTCTATTCCCACTTCCACTCTTGAAGCTTCGTCTGATAGCTGACGTTATGTTCGAAGCGGCGGCACTTTCCTGAAAATCAGCATTCCCGAAGGGCCCGGGCTTAAGCTGGTTATTTCGGCAGCGCGCCAGCACTTAGTAGCTGAATCTTTTGTTTAACCTAAACAGCTCTCTCCTCACTAACATTTCCCACGGTCTGGGCTTTAATTGCGGCTTCTTCTAAATTTTTTTTACTTATTCATACCCTTGTAATCAAAGTATATTATGCGTTTTTTGCAGCAATGCAATGCGAAAAACGCATATTGACGAGAGGTTGTCTGTG